TAAGAAAAAACTTAAAAGTTCTAAGAGGCCAAACAAGGGTTAGACTCCAAGAAACGAGAATGCAAAGAAGGAAGAAGTATGAAACTCTTTAGTCCTACTAACACAAGGAATAATGTGTTAGATAATGCAAAGAACAATAACAGGAAAAACAAAAGAACCTAAAGCACTAAGAGTCAAAGAAAAAGGGACCAAACCAGAAAACCTAGAAAACGCTGGATCAACTTGAGCAACGTTTTTGAGGGGGTTACCGGTGTCCAAAAATTCTGGAAAAATTCTTGAATGTCTTTCGATGCCTCAAGAAACCACCTGTAAAATTTCAGAACCAAATACAGGAAAAACAAAGAACCTAAAGCACTAAAGTCAAAAAAAGGGCCAACCAGAAAACCTAGAAAACGCTGGATCAACTTGAGCAACGTTTTTGAGGGGGTTACCGGTGTCCAAAAATTCTGGAAAAATTCTTGAATGTCTTTCGATGCCTCAAGAAACCACCTGTAAAATTTCAGAACCAAATACCTTCATTAGTATCCAGTAGACTCTGTTGAACGGTGAGTCCTCAAACAATATGTTTTTCTTGATCTCTTTGTTCGAAGGTGTTCTTGATCTCCAAATATTCTGATTTTTGTTTAAATGATCTTCAATATATGAAGTTTCAATCTGGAAATTTCACCATAAAATTCCTCCTGTATAATTTTCAAGAAATTCGACAAGATCCTAGACCGAATCTGCCGATGAAACTTGAAGAACGTATTTGAAGGCTCTAATGAACTCTGATTTGGGTGAATTTAGGACTGGAGATTTATATTATGATGAATATTATATATGGAGAAAATCAACCCTAAATACCTTCATTTGCAATTTTTTTGAAATTTTGGCTTTTTTGTTTTTTTCCCTTTTTGTTTTTTTTTTGAAAAAAATAGCAAACAAACAAGAAGGATTTGAATCTAAATTAAAATTAAATAAAAAGAACCTGAAATGATGAATCTTCTCTGGACTAGTTCCGTTGGGGTACCTTGACGGTTTTTATGCAAGAACAAGCAAGATTGCTTGCTTCTTTCCAAGAATTGGCCCAAATCTGATACCAATTGATAGGGAAGCGGTGGCGGATTGATGAACGTTGCTCTTGTTGAAGAATCAAACCTAGAAAGCTCTAGACTCAATGAAGAACAATGGGGAACGAATAGGGAAGGTGGCGGTAGCAAGTAGGGTTCTTAGAGTTTATTTAAGTGATGGAAACAAGGTAAGAAACAAGATTAAAACAAGATAGAAAAAGATAAGGAATTGCAATAAATAAGATAACCAAGAAATCAAAAGATCTCCCTTATAAAGGTGAAAGGTAAAGATGATTGATGACGTGGATGGATATGTGAAAAATCGATGGATAATGTCCTATCGAGCCCTCCTAGTCGAAATGAAAAGGTAAACACGATAATATGGCTCTAACCAACCCTCCTAGTCGCGATGAAAAGGCAAAGTGGAGTGTGAAGATTAATCTCTCTCACAAGAACTTGAAAGAACTCAAGGAGAAGAAGCTTTGAAGGCACAAGGCAATCAGTACTTGCAAAAACGAACTCTCGTTGTATTATTAATCAAAGAAATCTTGAATTACAAAGTTGAATGAAGCCTCCTTATATAGGGGCTGAGTTCTAAAGGCCTTAGATAACTAATGAATAAAATAATAAATTAACATGTCCTTAACTCTAATTCCTAATAAATAATAACTAAAGATATATTTTAACTCAACCTTAATTCCTAATAAAATAATAAATCTAATCCTAAAGATAATGCATCATCCTATATTAAGTTATATTACAAATAATCAATAAAATATTGAAAATTCGTAATATTTACAAAATCTCGTATTAATTCCGTATAAGATTTTCTACATGCACCGTCTTCAGTAAAATAGCTATATCTTGAGTTTCCGATATCGGATTGATGCAATTCAAGAACCGTTGGAAAGATAAGGGACAGAAAATTGTATCTCCAGAATACATGTTGACCAAATAAGATCAGGATCCCATTCAAAAAGTCATCGCAAGTCTGCTGCTGTTCTGATATTCTTTTCCAAAGCTTGGACGAGTGGATCATTTGGAAGAGTTATTACTTCTTCCTTTTATGTGAACCTTGTGATGCATGTATCAAATATATATATATAGAAGTGTACTTTTGGGATATGGAAAATAAGTTGATACTCTTTATAAAATATTTTGATTATTAAGATTAGCACTCTTAGTACTTGCGTCACTAAGTCATCGACTTAGCGTGTGATTTTCTCACGCGTAGATTTGAAGAAAGCAGATGACTGAGTTGTGGAGGATAGCATATCACTGGAAGATCAGATCAATACAAATTAAATGTAGGTTTTTGTGTTAATTTTGTAAACTATTGGCATGTATTATACTTTTAATTTGAAATGCTCTGATCGATTTTGTAAACTCCTACATTTTTTATATTTATGTAAATTATTAAGATTTTATGTAAAAATGTAAGTGAAATGATTATCTTATTAAAGAGGTTTATACCTTTTTTATTTTGATTAAAAATTTTAATTTTATTCCTATTTGTGAATTGCATATGTTTTGAAAAGTCAAATGTGACATCTCGGATTCGTATCCAGATCAGGTACGAGTCAGGGGTGTTACAAGTTAAACCTAAGCTAAATGCTTTAAATCTCATCACCTAACCACCAAGCCAAATCTTTCATTTATTTATCTTTTGCATTACAAAATATTTAACATATACGTTATGTCTCTCGTACATTTTATCAAACACCATCTTCATTCCCTCTTGACATATGATTTCTTCTTCCTTTTATGAACCTCTTAACTATGTAGTTTCACACATAAGTAACTAACCAGAACGTGTGGTTTCACCCCGTTATGAAGAGCTGGTTTTAGCACTTACCAGAAACATGTGACCTAGCTTGATAAAGACTCAACAAGCTCCCTTTCCGCCTAACCCTAGTGATCTTCACCTGTGCACCACCACTATCACCGTCGCAATCAATGACTGGAGTAGATGAAAACTGAAAACTTCCCTGAACAAATCGTCCGAGTTTTCTAAAACTCCTCCACCTACTCGATCCAAATTCTGCTTGCTCCTTACTTACTCTCCTGTCGTGGGGACTCCGATAAGACCCGCCTTTTCGAAACGACAAGGTCTGAGACACAAACCGACCAGCCGAATCAGGCCCGTCCAAGACGGTTGTCGGAGATGGCATGTTCGAAACCTTGGCCTCAGCTAACAACCTCAGAGGCAGTTCAAGGCATCTTGCATTATAGGGCTTCTATTGACTAGCGGTGGCAGCACACAGCCTAGACTTGCCCGGTTCTTCCTCCCACTGGAACGGAACCGAAACGGAGATGTGGATCGGTGGCTTTGTCATCCCTGACGGCTCTTTGGATTTTCTCGGCAATGAAGACAGTGAAAGCATTACTAATCATGCAAAAACGTTTTCCCAAACCGTAAAATTCCTAGTTCTTTAGCTTTAGAAAATGGATATCGTGGTTTATAAAGTGAGTAAAGTGGGTGACGATTAATGTGAACTGCAAGGGTCATTAACAACAAACGCTCCTCGCGCTTCGTGTTCATGAGAAAATGCCTGACTTTTCTTTTCCTTTTACCCCGTTTGGATGCCGAGAAAATATAAAGAAAATCTCTTTAGCGTTCGATGCCATTGTCTTCTTTCTTCGGCTGTGTTGTGGTTGCAAATTCTACGAATTTGTGGGAAATGGGAAAATTGCTCCTTCCTCTTCTTTTTCCTCGTTCCACAGAAGATACAGTTTAGATTAAAGGGAAATTTGTTTTCGAACAGTCTTAGTAACGGTGAGATTTTGAGATACCAAGGGGTTCGTGTTAATTATTTATTTATGGGTAAAACCAAATAGTTAAAGGTTTATAAAGGGAGAAGAAATTACATGGCAACATAGGATGAAGAAGGTTTTTTTGATAAAATGTGTGAGATTAAATATTTTATAATACAAAAGATAAACAAATGAAAGATTTGGTTTGGTGGTTAAGTGATGGGATTTCAAGCAGTTGATCTAAGTTCAACTCCCCACGAAAACATATTTTATTTGGTTTAAATTTAAATCAATATAGTATTAACATGTGTCATCATCTTATTGGATAAAAATATATAAATATTAAGAATAATATTTTAATTTTTATTTAAAAATATGACGTGGTAGTGTCACATTATTATCTATCATGACCTGAACATGCCACATCAACATCTGGGTCTGTTTGTTCTTGTTTGGTCAGCGTCGTTGACCGTTAGTTGACTAACGATTTTCATCTATCGAAATTGATTTTTGATTCAAAATGAAACTTTGGGGATCAAATGTTCTAAAAAATAATACGGGTAAATTTAATAATACTATCAAACGTTAAGGTTATTTTATTGAATTATGATTAAAAAAATTAGTTGATCCTATTTTCCTATATAATGAGGTAAGGGGAAGGTAGGGTAGTAGGCTGCCCAAACGCTAGATTGAGAACAACTTCCGTAGTAGACATCCGTTATGAATTACCCTCAGTGAAACTCAATCTCACAACCACAAGATTAAAAATCTTATACTCTACCAACTGAGCTAGACGGTCAATTCTGAATTATGATTAAAAAATAGTATTATTTTCTTTGATCAATCCATGACTTGTACGAGCTTAATAATATAAAAAAAAACGAAGGAAAAAAAAAAAACTTCCCTTCCGTATTTAGTAAACGTGAGGTGTGGCTATAATTTCGATCATGGAAGACTGAAATGGGGAAATAGTTGGCATGAATTTCGGCCTCCACTCAAAGCAAATGAGTAGTTTCCCTCATGCAGAATACACGAGACAGCCATTGAATTTTCTTTTTCTTCTTTTTTTGAAAGAGAGTTAAGCGATCATTCATTGAAACAAAAACTTGGGTCTTCACTACTCAAGGCTCCCTGCGGGATCTTTAATAAGGTTTTTCTCTTCATTATTTATTATTATTATCATTATTGTAATTTGACTGCTTGTCAAAATTTCAATAAATGAACAATGGAATTAACGATCAGATTTCTTGAATGTATTTTCTTTCAATTGCGGGAAAAAAACCTCAAGTATTATTGGCAAAGAAAAAGTTAAAATATATTCTGATTTATACGTTGCAGCATAATCTTTTCTAGATGTATTCTGGTTTAAGTTTGAATATATTCATTAATTTGATAGTGTTGTAATATTTTATTATGATTGGAATTATTGTATCAATATTTTAAATAAATATAAGATGTATTCCAGACATAAATCAGATGTTTAACCCAATTGATTCCTAGGATAAATTTAAAATTAAATTCTTATTTTCGGTTTTTTTTTTAATGTGGGAATGAAAGCATTGTTGCTTTACTTTTCAAGAACCTCAATAGCCTAAAATTCGTAATCTGCAACTCATTTTATCATTGTTATGCTATTATATGTCCTTCCATGGTTTTGGTGGATGGTGTGAAATGTTTTTAAAATTTTGCAGCTGCTTCTCTTTTGTTTGATTAAAAATTCATACAATCAGAAGCTGCCAGGATGGTCAGTAAGCATTTTACAGTTGATTTGAGTAAGCCTATTGTATCCAGGTCTGAAGCATACGTTTCCTTGATTCTTTATTTTCTTTTTCAGATATACACATGCCTTTTAGTGTTTTAGTTAGTATGGTGCAGTGTGTATTTTCCTTTTCTTATTTTTTATATTACCCATACTCTGTAACTTTGTTCGACTTTATTGGACTACATTATTGGTATGATCCTAACAGATAAATGAATTGTTTTTACATTGTAACATAGTTGAGCATCAGGAGAGTGAACAACTCCGTAAGAAATGTGAATCAATACATAGACTAAAAAATCAACTCCAATTCAGCAGCAGTATTTGGAGTTCTGGATTTTGTTGGTTCTTCTACATGACTTCGGAAGAATGTTACTTTAACTCTGGTCTATGTATTTTGTATTTCTGATCAGCGTTGATCTCTTAAATGTTAATAAAAATGCTTTATAATATTAGTTCTAACCAATACTCAGATGACTGTAATTTTACCCCCCCGAAGTTTCTCCCTTTTTGGAATACCAGCTCTCGAACATTGAACGTGTAAGTTAAATGCTAAAGCACTAAACCTTCTCCTTCAGCAAACAACTTTCTGGCGTAGTTGCAAGATATTTGTGTTGTGTGAAATGAGAGCTTGGTTCAATCACTAACCTCTCTTCCCGGTTCCCCACCCTAATTATCAGAAAAAAAATGTCTTCTCTCCAAATTTTTACCAAATTGTCACTTGAAGATTTTTAAGTTGTACTAATTCTTTTTTCCCCTTAAAATACATGCATTTGACACTTATGCCTCACACATATTCTGGGAATGGTATGAAGTTAAGACCTCCAAATATATGAAAAGAAAACTATTTTTTTAATGAGAGTACCTGTGTCCGACATTTACTTGAGTTTGGATAACATAAGTAGATTGTTTTAACTAAGAATAAGGATATTATTACATATAATTTTCTAAAACTGTTTGATTCGGTTTCTATCCAATGCTGTATTAACTTGTTTGAGATGCATAAAAATAAAAATTTCATAGGTTGGCCATCTCGGGGAAGCTTATGAGAAATGGGTCCACCAACCTATTGTTAGCAAGGATGGTCCTCGGTTTTTCGCTAATGACTTTTGTGAGGTATTGATCCTTGCCTTTTCATTTATGTAGTTGTAAATTTTCAGAACATCTTATGGAGATATTGACAGATACATGTACAAGAAGAAGATGCACCTATATATATATATATTCTTATGCTATGCACCAACCAACCCTTTTAAGTGTTGACAAGCTTGCGTCCATAGATTGGTTAATCAAATTTTCAACATGGGCGCATTGCCTTCAGAAACACCTGTTTGGATTTGAAGCTTTAGAAATTTGCTTCTAGATTTTACAAAAGGAGTAGCAAAGGGATCTAGAAATTAATAACTTAAAAAGGTGCATATTCTGAGCTTGGTTTTAGATTTACTTGATCTTATTATTCCACTTTTCCTTCGTCATGCAGTGTTTCAGACCAATATTTAATTTTTATCAATTTAAATTTCCTTCTGAAAAAAAAATAGCATTAACTTTTTTTTCTTTTCTTTAATTAATTCCAATAATTTTATACTTTAGTAAATATGTAATGCTCTGTTTTTTACTAGTTTTTATAATAATGACGGGCATCAAGGGAAGGCAGCCTTCCTTGCTAACCCTGGGGAACTAGCATATCTTACCATGGCCCCTCACTGAAATTATGGACTCTCAGGGCAGGAATCCATTTCGGGCTATGCACTAATGCAGTTAGGTCATGCCACTGGTCGCGTGCTATAGTCTTTATCTGTGTTACTCTACTTTTGTTTTTTTGAAATATTTATGTCCGAACATTTATGAGTATGATCTTCTAAATATATGGAAAAGCATAAAAGATAATTTGCGTGTCTAACGTGTGAAACACATTTTTGTATCCAACACTCCCCCTCGAGTCGGAGTAACTAGTTCTTTATCATTATTGATAGTGCATGGCCTTCTGATGATTGAAAAATCCTGTTAAGTGCTCCATTTCCTCTGCCATTCCTCCATTAATAGGATTTCAATTACATATCTCCATTTAATACATCGGATGCTCATAAGAATGTGTTTAGTTCAACCACTACTGTATACCAATCACATCTTTTAACATTTTCTTCTTCTTACTCAACAGCTCTTGACACGCACAAAATGGTGGGTGATCCCACTAGTTTGGCTACCAGTTGTATGTTGGCTTGTTTTTGTATCCATACAAAGAGGTCTCACTCCTACGGAGGCAGCCTCGGCTGTGATTGGTGGCATCTTCATCTGGACACTTCTCGAGTACTGTTTGCACCGTTTTCTTTTCCATATTAAAACAAGAAGTTATTTGTGAGTTCTCTTTCTGTCTTAAATTTTTCTCTGTATGCTGTCTACATGAACAACTTGGCATGTTGAAGCTAGTTTGAGAAATTTTGTTCAGGGGAAACACCTTGCACTATCTACTTCATGGCTGCCATCACAAGCACCCTTTGGATGGGCTACGACTTGTTTTCCCCCCAGCTGCAACAGCTATTCTGTGTGTGCCGGTATGTAAATTTGTTCCGAGCACTTTACCTATCAATAATGCTACTGCTATTAGCTAAAACAATTTTTCTATATAGGATTTCCCCCTCTGATTTGCGCTCGTGATCTAGATTGCTAAGCATCCAACCCAATTCAAAGTTCAACACTTCATTTTTAAAGTTCTATAAACCTCCAATGTAGTAGCTTTCAACTGCTGCAAAAAAAAATATTCAACTTTGCTATAGCTTTATGAACTCGATTTATCTGTTTTCCATACGACATTCATCAAGGGTAAGGGATTCCCTTGTTCCACGATAATATTTACTATTTTTATCCTGTGGACAATATTTGTGTCAGCAAGATATTGTTGTCTCAACTCTCAATTCTTATTTGCATTTGCAATTTTAGAATCCTAAGCCGAAGTGTCTGAATCCAGTTTATTTTGTGATATAGAAGCAAAATGGAGAGAGTAGGGGATGAATGTGTCCTACGAATCCGCTTATGTTATTCTAATTGAACAACTTTTGATTACTAGGTATGGACCATGTTTAAACTTTTATCAACTCCTTCAACAGCTCCAGCTTTGTTTGGAGGTGGGTTGCTCGGATATGTAATATATGATTGCACCCATTACTACTTGCACCATGGAAAGCCATCTAAAGGCTATGGTCATATTCTCAAGGTAACAACTCATTTAGGTTATGGCTTTTTCTCTTACCTTATCTATGACCAGATTATTTGGAAGGTAAAATATTATTAATCCATGGCGGTGCTTAGCTTAAGGACCAAATACAACTAGGGGAGAACCAGTTTTCACTTGATCAAATCAATATATTGTAAGAAAATAAAGAGATAATTTAGACCGTCAAACAGTGTTGTCAAGGCATGCGTCTTAGCAGTAAACAACAATAAGCGCCTCAGCCCGCTTGATTGAGGGACAGTATTAAAATGGCACAATGACTTGAAATGTCTCTAACATTTAATTAAATAATTATTTTTATTTCAATTTTTTTTGGAGCATTTTAGTCTTTAATATTTTATTTTGGGGGTAAAAAGACCCTTCCGTTAAAAGTCAAACATTAAAGGTCTTTTTGTCCTAAAATAAAATGTTGAAGTTGAACTGTTCCAAAAAATAAAAGAAAATAATATAGACAAAAATGACTATTTGATCAAATGTTAAGATTTTTAATTTTTACATTATTCCTAATAAAATCTATACTTTTTAAATATTTGAGTATTCAACTATAGACATGAACCATAAGGAAATCATGCATATTGACTAATAAAAATTTCATATTTTGTAGTTCAACTGGACTACTCTTGGCAAATGAGATCTAATTATATTTTTTTCGACAGAGATATCACTTGAATCATCACTTCAAATCTCAGAACAAGGGATTTGGGATTACATCATCAATTTGGGACCATGTGTTTGGAACATTCCCCGCACCTAAAGTGGGGGCGACAAAAGTAGGTGATAGCTGATTTAATTGTCAATATAAGCTGTCATCTATATATAATCCTATTTTGATGATGTTTGTAATTTCCATGAGCCTCTTCCTGCCTTGGCCTTTGTACCATATTCCTCTTTGCTATATCCTATGGGTTCATCCCTATATATATCATTGCTGGTTGGACTTGACTTACGCAGTGACTCTTTATTTTTTTTAAATAATATATTTTATCGTACTGTATACATTTCATTATACAATCCTTATTCGTGGAATCTAATATTTATACTTAGTGAAACCCATCAAGTGATTTTAATATTTAAAAGGGAATTTTTCTCTCTACAATTTTTGAATTCGAGCAGTTGCGTCTGTAAAACGTGTGTATGTTATCAATGATTAAGAAATATTCTGAATATATATTGTTTCTTAATCATCAAATTACTAAAAGAAAAATATAGTTAATGAATGTGATTTTATCATTAAATTATTTTATCAAAAAGTATATCTGAAAAAAAATTATCTAATGTGGCCAATTCTACTCACTTATAATGCAATCTTAAGAAAGACACTCTCAAGAGACATGGCAGCCCTAGGAGAATAATTGCCCTTATTAATTTCATTATCAATATTGTCGATTAGGAGTATCTGTGGTTAATCTGTTGGTAAAATTAATGCTGTAAAATAAGATGTTAGTATTGATTATTACAATTATTAATAAAATATATAATTATTATGTTGTGTAATTTATCGTCGTATAAATAAATCCGTTCGGAATAGTATAATTGTAAAAATAGGCATTATGTAATAAGCTTTAAAATTTAGTACAGTTAAAATAACGAAGTGGAATTCGACTAGATTATTCTTTCAAAAGAGAAGAGTAATGGTGGTGGGGAAAGAGAATATTTTTCTTGTGTGTTAAAGAATGAATGAAAACTTGCCTTTTATAGGGAAGAGGGGTAAATTTGTTAAAGGAAAATAACAAAATTAGTAAATAAAACTTAATTGTCATTAAAATCATTTCAATAATCAGATTTGAATTTTAGAAAGATTAATTTTTTAAATCTTTGCATGGTCAATAATCTTACACTAATAAAAAAATAAAATTTTAAAAAACGAGAAAAAATAGTATTAAAATTAGTCGCTTAGATACTAGTATTTGTTAAGTTTTAATTAGTACATATTAAAATAAACAACACTTTTCTTAAGAAGTGAATGAATCTTAATAAGTAATCTCCTGACACACGATTAATCTTGGGTCTAATTGAATTCCATCATAGATGAACAATTTAGTTAGTATATCTCAGGATGCTAGTACGTGCTCAAATAATGATTCATATATTTCATTAAAGATAACTAATTACGTAAGTGATTTCATCATATCTATCTTAATATAAACTATCTAAATCAGGATTATAAAATCCTTAAGGGTATTTAATAAGTTTAATCTCTCAGTTTTAAGAAATTTAATGAATTCATTAAGTCCATCTCAAATAAAAATACTCAAATTTTGGGGTATGAACTCATTAAAAATATTTAGCGGCTCATCCTAGAAATTCATTGATTTTATCAAGCTCGTTTCAATAGGATCATTCAAACTCTAACCATGAATTTATAAAGAATATTTAATAGTTATTTGTATAAATTTAATAAATTCATCAAATTCACCTTAATAAACCCGCCCAAATCATGAGCTATTAACTCATTAAAAGCCACTATCTCAACTAATAATCATTGATTAAAACAATAAGTCGTTTTTCATTGACAAAAACAAAATTTCCACAAAACAAACCAACCCTAAATTCCTAAACCGTTGTTAAGGCATGGATCTAATGGAGATCTGTAAGCATTAAAGGAGCCAAATTCAGAATTAGACCATCTAGAATCTTCAAATAGTTTCAAACACGAATACCCTCCACTGTAGACGGTCACAGTGTTGCTTTTCCTATTTAAGAATCACCGCAATGCAAAGCGATTGCTTAAGCATACTTCCCCTCTAGTTTGAAACGGAAGGAAATCAGGTTCAGTTTCTAAAACCCCAATATCGATTTAGAGAAATATGTGTACTCTTTCTGATAATTTGACCTGTGATGCAAATATATGTCATTTTTCTAAAACCCCAATTTTGGTACTCTCTTCATCTTTCTTAGCTATGATTGAACTTTGAAGAGAAAGTTTTATCCGGTTGTTTCTGATTAATTGTTGTTTTCTGAAACAGCTTGCTTTCATGGTATAAAAAAACAATCGACCTCCATTTATTACAGTTTTTAAGGTGTTCTTTTGACATGTCTGATTTGAAGACAAGCCAAAGTGGCGGTGCTGGAAAGACCCAGACTCGAAATCTTCCGTCATGGATGAGTTCAAGAGAGAATGAGAGTAAATCCCATGGAAACAAGCCAAATGATGCTAAAGGACATGCTTCTAGTTCTAACGACATCAACTTTTCCGAACTTATGGTACTGAATTGTAATGAAGTGCATTTGATGTTCCTATTTTTTATAATTAAGCTAATGGAATTATATTTCATTTGTTTCTTTCTGTGTGCAGGAAGGGGTGGTCTTTGTATTGTCAGGATTTGTTAATCCGGAGCGTGGTACATTGCGTTCCCAGGCTTTGGCTATGGGAGCTGAATACCAGCCTGACTGGAATTCAAATTGCACGCTTTTGGTATGTGCTTTTCAAAATACTCCGAAGTTTCGACAAGTGGAAGCAGACTGTGGAACCATTGTATCAAAGGTAATGTAAACTGCTGAGCTATACACAGTTACAACTGTTGGTGTAGATAATCCCATAGGTGCAGGCCATCGGCAACTCCAATTGAATTTAAGCACGGCTTTTGAGGCTACAACGGATCATATCACTAGTTGACAAATTGATATACCTTTCCCACACTAGACCCGATATTGCTTTTGTTTTAAGTGGTGTCAGAGCTTTAGGTTTGTTTATTGAAATTTGAGATTGTTTTCTGTCATTTCTCCCAATGTTTTCTTTTTCTCTTCTCATCTGGACTCATCAATCTTGGAAGATATCCGAATTCTCGTAGATCAGTAATGCAGCCCTACCTCAAACAAAAAGCCTGCCAACTCTTATTGCTGGTGATAGTTTCTCAAATGGTCTCAGTATATACAAATAGTTCTAAAAGGGAGAAGAAAATTGAGTCATTTGCTAGGCATTGGTCTTTCAAGAGAAACCATGGATTTGAAGCTTGAGATGAACAAGATTCCATTGTAATGTCTTGGCTTTGGAATTCGATGATCCCAGAAATTAGTGGCATCGTGATGTTCCTGAACACTTCGAAGGGAATTTGGGATGCAGTTCATCTGACCTATTCTAAGGCTAATGGTGCTTCCAGAAATTCTGCATAGTCCCTGTTCATCTTCTGATCAACTAGAAATACCAGACTCAGGAAATGATTTTGACCTGTCCATAGCCCTTTTGGAAGGTATAAATCATTAGGAAACAAGAAGTGGGAGGAGGCCATGAAAGTAGAAGTGGGGGCACTTGCGAATGATAAGACATGGGATTATCTACTCCAACAGCAACATACAGTGTATCATCTATAATTAAGTTGATATGGTCCCTGATTTTTAGTTGAGCTACTCAATCTTCTATTTAACTCAAATCTTCAATTCCAGCAATTGGAGAACTTGATGTTGATAGCCTTTGATCTTTAGTTGAACTATCCAAGACTCTATTTAGCTAAGATCTTAAATTCTGACAGTTATAGAATCTGAGATTGGTAGTCTCCGATTTTTAGTTGAGCTATATTTTTGTTATGTGAATGATGGAATTTGTGGATGTTGTATGGGAACAGGAAAAAATTTCAATGCTGAAAACAATTGCAATGTGTTTGTTAGCAGAGTTTCCACATTCTCTGTTTATAATATAATATTAACCACAAGCTTTTTTTCTTATGTTTGTTTGGACTTTTGCCTGTAAAAATCTGATGATCTACTTTGTCTCACCTCAGGAATGGATTTTAGAATGTTATGCACAGAAAAAGCTTGTCGATATTGATCCTTACCTCATGCATGCTGGGAAACCTTGGCGAAAAAATAGCATTTCTCATGAAACTTGTGAAGGTAATGCTGTGTTAGTACCTATTTTTTCCCTTGCCCTTTGAGTAAAGACTAATTATTACATTATTCTATGTTAGAGCATTTTTTGAGTGAAGACTATTCTAATGAAACTGTTTTAGTACCTTTTTTTATCCTTGTTCCTTGTGCTAACCCACCCAAGCCAAGGTTTTCGGTCTTGTTTTTTCTCACTTGTTTTAATCATTAGTTGTTTTATTGTTGAACATATAAAAGCTTTAGCTGGTGAGCTTTTAGCAACATTTTATGGGAATTGAGCTTTGCAAAGAATGTAAGGACCTTTACCTTACATAAGGATGGCCTGGTTTGGAACTGACTTGATATATAGAAGTAGAAAACTGTTGGCCCCTACGCTTCAAGATCTGCTGTTTGGGAGTTAGGCTACTGAAGTGAGCCAATTTTTCACCAAATGTGTGCAAATCAAGAAATCTAGAAGAATAACTGTATGCGCCTTGCATGGCTTCTTGATAACTGCAATTTTTCCACTTGTGATTAATTGTTCCAATGATAAGTCAGATTACATTCAAATTTTGATCAAAAAATGTTTGTGCATTGTTGGAGTCTAATACAATGTGTTCATCAAATGTAACGATATCTGTGTTTTCTCCACACACCATGCGTTTCTTTAATGTTATCTACATATCTATGTTTTAGCATATATATAAGAAGTCTGCCTTCTGAATTCAAAGGGTGCTTGCAGAAAAACAAGGATCATCATTACCAAAATCTTACAAGAAAGTTGAAACACAATCCAAGACAAGTTCTGGTTCCTCTGAGGTATCATTTTTCTTGTTATAAAGATGGAATGTAATTGCACTATCGTTTTAGTTCCATGATCCTGAGTTTAAAACATATTTCCTACATTTATCAGTGGTAATGTATTTTTCAGAATAGAGCATCTCAGCTCGCTCAAGAGAGTTTTTCTCCTTCTAAAGTTAAGAAGTGGGTTATCGATGATTTCAATGGAACTATTGCATGGCTGGAGAGTCAAGAAGAAAAGGCAAATGACATTTATTAATTTCATTTTCAGCTTATATATGTTTGGTCTTTCTTGGCCTCCTTGTTCATATAAGCTTCCAGTATCTATTTTGCTGGCCTGATTTCTCTCGTCTTTTAACAGCCTGAATCGCACGAGATAAAGCAAATAGCCAGAGAAGGGATCTTAACTTGTTTGCAAGATGCCATAGATTGTCTTGCACAAAAGCAGGTATTCCATGCTTGGGAAACTGCATTTATTCTCCTGAAACATGGGATCTTAATTAGTTACTGTTTTATTTGACCATATGACAACACGCTTTGTCTTTGATGACATAAGCATATTACAAAAGTGTTATAGAACATCTGGAGCTTAGCGCAGATGATTCGTGGCATTTGGTAGGTTTTGGGTTCAAATCTTAGCCTTTACAACCCCTTCCCGTATTTTCCCTGGTTGCAGTCTCCATTGTACCAATAAGAGGGAAGGGACAAGGGTACTTATGTTTTCTTATATCATTTTCCTTCTTCATGCAGCTCAGTATTCTACAAATGGAATCTTTGAGAATTTTCCCTGTTATTTTCAGTTATTGATGAGTTGTTTTGTTATGATTTTTTTCTTGCATTGTTTGCTGTATTGAAGGATCATTTATGAGTAATCTCTTTTAACTCCTTCAGCCTGAGCCTCTTGCCATGTGCATGAAAATGTATACAGTGGCGATTATACGCATGAAGTGAATACTTTTTGTAACATCGTCCTCTGTTTTAAACATAAAACCAATCGAATGAACGTTTACTTATAACTGCAAATGCTTGCTGATAATGATTTTGAACAAGGAAATTAGTATGTATTTGTTTTTTGTATTATATCCCGGCCTGAACAAATTATCCTTTGGTCTGTTTTTCAGGATGTGCAGCAAATTACCGAGCAGTGGAGCTTTATCCCTCGTGTGGTGAAGGAGATTGTTGTCTTTGATGGCAATAACCGTGACTCTCTCACCAAGGAATATCTTCTGAAAAAGGCCAAGCTCTGCAAGCAAATTTACGAGGATGAACTAAGCCGGATGGATGACAATTCTTCGAAAAGAAAAAAGCCAAAAACTGATGGAGGTGAAGAAGGTGACCAGAAGGGAACTCAAGCCAGCTCCAGGAATGCATCAGGTTATGACAGTGACGAAACAATCGAGATGACCGAGGAAGAAATTGATCTTGCTTACAAGAATTTTGCTTCCGGAACTTTGTAAGTCAAGTTTTATGTCAATGGACTGAAAGTAATAGTTTTATGATAAGCTAGTTTTTGACTTTAGGCATATACATTACGGGACAATGTTGCCATTGCCATTTCCTTTGAACTTATAGAGTCATGTTCACTAACTTTACAACTCGGGCATTCTTGAATGAGCTTTATTTATTTTGTATTAGTTTTGACATTTGACCTTCAAAAATTGAACATGCTCGTATAGACAGGCTTCGAATGGTCGACAAAAATTATTATTCTAAAATATTTTTTCCCTAAAATAAACATAATAATAATTTATTCTTCATTTACAACCCAATTGAGCTATTTAAACATAGCATGCACCTATTGCATGCTTTTCTAACTACCGTAAGTCAAATCTAATGTTTAAATTTAATTCCAAAACAACATGCAATTAAGGGGTTCGTTGTTATCTCTTGAGGTCCAGTATTTGAGCATGAACCAATAACTTGTAGTTATTTCTTCAGTGACTTAATTGTCTCTTGAGGTCTCGAGTTTTAATGCCACATATGTAAGTATTTGAGCATTCTTTGTGAAATAATTCAAAGTCTTTAAAAATATATTACTTTGTATTTATCCCGAATTTATAAAAAGAAAATTTTTAAATAATGTGAACATCTAATCTCAATTGAGAGTCACATACCGCTAGAATTGTCATGATCAAAACATTAAATCTCACTCCTTAATTAATTTTAGGTCTTGCATATAGATATCTATTTAATAAAATTTAATTATTTAAAATAATCACGATTGAAATTTAAAAAGTTTAGTCATAAAAAATCAATAAATAATAATTTTAATATAACAAAATTTTATTTAATTATTAAAATATAATCGAATTTATAATTTAAAGTACGGAGTTTACCCGGTTAAGAAATATACAGCGTAAATCAAAACTAAAGATCAGAAATTGTATTTGGTTGCTTAGAACTGATCAAAATCCACGCTTTTCCTTCCGCTTTCAACGATTTAACTATATTGGTGACTCCAAAATTTGAAATAAATACTCGATAACTGTTCCATTTAAACACAATGATTTACGAGCCAAAATCAAACTGTTCATACTGAAAATCCCATAATCCTGCATTAAAAAAACACACATACACGCACGAATCAAACGATCCCGACGATTAAAAGGATGACTATTATTTTAAAGGTCAAAAGTTCGAGCACGACGTCTACATAAATATTTAAGTGTTCACTTATAATCATCTCAGACTAATAGAAACTTCATAATCAATCTTAAAGAGCATAAAAAAATTCTTCTTAGTTTTTAGTGCTGAAAACACAACTTTTAACATAATTCGAATTTAGAATTTATGCCAGAAATAGGCACACGGTTTTATGTTAGAGGTGAAAATATATTATCAATAAAAAATACAGAGCAAATATTTAAAATATACAAGGATTTGAATTTTTCAAGAGATAGTTAGGGTAGCTGCTCGAATTCAATTTTTTTAAGTAGGATAATATTTTCTTTTACCACTGAGATCATTCAATAATTTTTTATAGACATAATTTTAAATAAATAAATACAAATTTTTTTTTTAAATAAAGACAAACATAATTCTAATACAAATAAACTTCAAAAATAAATAAACAAATATAAATATAAATTTATTTGTACAAACTCAGATAGTTGACGACCTTTAAAATATGGCAAAATTATTATTTGAATAAATTATAAAAAAAACATGCAAATTACGTATAAACATTGCCTCTTTCCTTGTATATATAATTCCCACTTCCCCATCTCTTTCGCCTCTCGTATCTCACCCTGCCTTTATTTCTATCATTTTCCATTATCTCCTTTCTTTTATATTTTCTTTTTCATTCTGAAATTTTTTTCTATTTGTTTTTTTAAAATTTTCTTTTTGGAGTATTTTTTTCCATTGTAAAGGAAAATGAAGGAAAGTGTGGAAAACCCTCTTTATCTCAAATCATTGAACCATATATCTCTTGTGAGTAGATCAGTGGAGGAATCCATTGATTTTTATCAGAACATTCTTGGGTTTGTTCCAATTAGGAGACCTGGATCATTTGATTTCAATGGGGCATGGTAATGAAAGAAACAACATCAATTCATCTTTCAAAATTTTCAATCTTTTTTTTTGTTAATATTTCAAGAAAGGTTAAGGGATTTTTTGTTATCTCATGAAGTTTCGGATTTAAGTAATGCGTATGCAAGGATGTGAGCGTTCATTGGTAAAGGGTGTAGAGTCTTTGAACATATATTACCTTGTATTCACCTTTGGTATAAAATATTTTAGTTTTATATGTTTTTAGAATCGTTCGATGAGTGTAAATAGACTGCTGATGTTATCTCTTTATATTTTTTTCTATCAATATATTTTATTTCGTGCTTAATTTCAACCGCCTATTTTCATTCACTCAATGATCCTAAAAGATATAAAACTAAAATGTTTTACATGCATGGATGGACACACGTTATAGGTGAGAGGGACGATACTCCCAACTCCGATTGTAATTAAACTCTTGTCCCTCTCAATTTTTTTGATATAATTATATTTTAGGACGTTGTCGGTTTTAACATTAATGGAATTAAGTCTTGATCCCAAACTTGTCTGCCTTAATTACTTTTGAAGATTTTTAAATTTTCAAATTAGTTGAATTAAATACTTAATCTCTTAATTTTCACGGTTTAATTACCTTTTTAGATTTTGTTCATTTTAAAGTTAAACAACTTATTTCATTCATAGTTTAATCTTAACTCCGTCCATTTATATGGATAAAAAAAAGAAAAACAAAACTTGGGTTAATTTAGATCTCTCATTTTATGATTATATTTTCTGGATTTGCAGGTTGTTCGGATATGGAATTGGGATACATCTTTTGCAATCAGAAGATCCAGAAAACCTACCAAAGAAAAGGAAAATCAACCCCAAAGATAACCACATTTCTTTCCAAGTTAAATTTCTTTTCCTTTTTCTTAATAAATTGAAGATTGGAAACTGGGAAATTTTAATGATTTCTTTACAAGTAGGTTTAAAGTGGTAGCCCTAGTAAAGAACATACATAATGCTAAAAAAATTGTCTAAACAATCATTTTAGTCCTTATTTTTTTAGAGTATTATTTTGACTCGAAATTTCATTTTAGAATAAAAAGACTACTAACGTTTTACTAAATAATCACTTTGACTCTTATTCTTTTCTTTTTGAACATTTTGAGTCAAACGTTTCATTTTAGGGCAAAAAGACCTCCATTTTGATACGATGGTTGTTTATTAACTAACAGTTTCCATCCACAGAAGAGTGTTTTACCACAAAATGAAACATTGAGGTCAAAATGCTCCAAAAAAAAAAGAAGGAATAAGAACCAAAATGGTTATTTAATCAAATGTTAAGGATATTTTTTTTGACATAATACTTAAAAGAAACAATAAATTAATTAATTTTGTTTCCCATGTTTCAGTGTGAGAGCATGAAGGCAGTGGAGAAGAAGCTGAAGGAAATTAAAATGGAACATGAGAGGGCAATAGTGGAAGAGGGTGGGATTTACGTGGAGCAACTGTTCTTCCATGACCCAGATGGGTTCATGATTAAGATATGCAACTGTGATAACTTACCAGTCATTCCACTACTTCGATCATGCTCTCCTGTTGATTAGCAACAATTACAACAATGACACAAGATCGACGAATTTCTAAAATTTTAAGAGGGACGAAAACAGTTTATCAATTGAAAATACAAAAAACAAATATTTAAAATATATACTAATTTGAAATTTTCAAAGGACACGTGTCCCCATCCATCCTCTTTTCGATCCATCCGTGGCACCAACAAATTGGTTGGCCGGTGAAAACAAAGTTGCAGCAACAGCAGCTTGGACAAATGAGCTGATGAGGTCATTTGATTTTTGGTGCATGAGTTAATAATAAATGGACTATTCTTCAAAGCTTTCTTTCCTTATAATTTCTTGATTTTTAATCAATGATTTATTTATTTTTCCTTATAATTGTAACTCCAACAAACAACATAATTGGCTCAAATCTACTCTCCAAGAAAACTTTCTTAACAAGGAGTGTAAAGATCAAACCATAAACCCTATTTGTAAATTTTAAAGAAAGAAACTTTCAAGTTTTAAAAAAAGGAAAAAAGGGTAAATTATACGTTTAGTACATAAATTATTATTTTATTTTATTTTAATGTCTAAACTTTATTTTTTTTAAAAATTATACCTAACGTGTAATTTACCCTAAAAGAAAATACTTCAATCATCAGTTAAAAACAAATAATCATTTCTAATATGTTTTCTAATTGAATTACTTTTATGAAACAAGTTGCAACTCATTAAAACAAGAAATTGACTTCAAATGTGATTTTTATTTTTTTAAGATAATTCAAAACGGGTAAAAAACTGTAGTCATAGTCAATTTGCATGGAAAGCGTATACGAGCAAACAATGGAATGAAAAAAATGTGCATTTTCTAACCAGGCAACGAGTAAACATGACCAGGGATGCAAATGAATCGAATTTGAACAAATAATTGTGTTTGTGTTCGTTTGTTTAATTTTTAACGTGTTTATGTTCGTTTAATTTTTTAATATTCGTTTATTTATTATTTGGAAATATGTTCGTTTAGCGTTCACGAGCCGGACAATATCGTTTATATGTTTAGAAATGGTGAACTTGTGCCATTAGTCCTTAAGCTCCACAATTTGAACTTCAAAGTTCATATTATGTTCAATTTAGTCGTTGGCTTCACCGATTTTTAAAATATAAAAAAAATATAAGAAAAAGATAATTGGATAATCAAGCTTATAAACAAATCGATAAACGAGCCTTTTAAACCAGTTTGCTCGTGAATATAAACGAACCAAACACATATTTTACGTACAATAAGAATTATTATTGTTAAATCCTTAAACTTCATATTCATTAGTTTTTAAATACAATTATATTGTTAAATCCAAAAATATTTTTTATGATAATATTAATGGTGAATGCAATCATAAGAACCAACAAACCTAAAATAATCACATATTATAAAAAAAAATAATGCATAACATGTCATTGAGAAATTAAATTAAAGAGTAGAGATACATTTAAGAAAAATAAGCACAAGAAAAGGGCACAAGTCCCCTTCCCCCTCATCGATAACATGACATTCAAACTGCAATATCACGAGGAAACAAAAATATTTACAGTACATCACCATTGCTTGTTTCTTCAAAGACTCTTACGGAGGCAACCATCACAAACTGTCTTGAGCTTCAACGCCTCCAAGCGAGTTGGAGAAGTTCCTCCGATAAACCCGAGAACATGTTCAGCCTAGAGGATATGGGTTCAAATGATAAGTAATGATCATTAGGTGGAGAGAACAAACATAATATTCGATGCCTGGCTTAGTAACATATGTTGTAACCTAGAGGAAAATCACTAACATTGGTAACGGAATTCTAATCCTAAACCAAACATACGAGTTTAATCTTGTGTTATTCAGACTCCGATATGAGATTATGCATTTAACACCCGAAGATTCAACTTTATTAAGTTTTTTTTGACAAACTAGAGGGTCTTAGAGACTCATATAGTCAAGCATAGGTATATTTATGTAAATATAAAGGGAAATGAAGAAATACGTTAAAAAGACTATTAATGGAATCATATTATTACTCACAAAACGCATGGAGAAGTGGGTTTGGTACGGAAATTTCATTAAGATCGCTTTCTGCTTCGGCTCCCAGTACCAGCAAATGTACTCGTGCTAATGGATTCAGGTGAATTATGCAAGTCTCTCTGGCCAACCAAAGTGCTTCCTCGAAATCCATGTGAAGTACTCGGAGAACTTGGTCCACTCCCCTTTGAGGTTTCAGTGTCCAACGTCTTAGCTTCATCTGTTAGCATTGCTAACTGTTTTAACAGAAGATGTTAAGTCGCAATCGTAGATTTTAAGACCAGAAAGGCTTAGATGATATCATAAACCACAAAAGAGAGCATTAATTCTGTCTGTATCCAAAGACCAACTAAAACAATACATCAAGTCTTCAAGTCTCTTTTTTTTTTTTTTTTTTTTTATCTCTGCCACTCTTCTTTGTCTTAAAGAAGACAACAATCTCTTTCTTTTCTCTCCTTTTTCCAACTTTTCTTCTAATTTCCATTCCTAATGTCATTGCAAGTAATAAATAAAACGATACATCAAGCATGCTTTGTCTGTAAAAATAGAAAGCGATACTCTTATCCAGAGTGCATAAATCACAAGTCCTCACAAATTTGATAAACGGAATTTCCAAGGATATGTCAGATAAGCTGCCCAACAGTAAATATAACTTTCATCTTTACTGTCAAACAATTTAGTTTCGTTATGTACCCGGATTTCATTCTCCTTTAATCGATCCTGAAGTGCACTAATGGCAGGACTTAAACTGCAAATTAATATGAAGGAATTTGAGTACAAATATAAAAGCATCACAAATAGTTGAAAGAGGTTCACATTTGTTCCTAACCAGTATTCGATTAACTTGCACATGGAAGCTTGATATGTAGATGTGTGATGGATGAAAGAAAGGGGATGCACTTTGCCATCTCTAAGTCAAACGAAGTGAAAGGTAGAATCAGTGATAAAGAAACGAGTTAAGGTAGGAAAACGGAAATACTTCCCATAATATAAAACCTCATATTTTGCAAGATGGCTTGGTTATATGCTGCTCGCTCCTCTTCATATAGTACACGTTGCAAATCCGTGAAAGACTTTAAGGGAGAATCAAGATTAATAAGAGAACATGTTGGCAAAACATGAAGAGGAATTTCTTTTCGGACATACTCTGCACCACTGTCAACACACAGAAAAGAAATACAAGTACCTCAAATTGAAAGTTCCTTAAACTCTAGATAGATTTAAACTCTATGCCATACAGGCAAGCATGTTTCAGTGTTTGTGCATGCGCAAACCAAATGATCTTCCTCACACAAATCTAGGAGATGTAAGTTCCAACTACAAAAAAAGTATTCAGCAATCAAGTACAAACTAATGTATACCTCATGTCCAAATTTGAGCGGTGCATGGCTTCTTGCATGCTTTCTGACATATCCATGGGATCAATATCGACAATAGCATTCTTCATGTTATTGGTATTATAGTAACCTCTGCCTTGCTCTTGCCCTAGATAGTTCGCATCAGCATTAGCGAAGAAACCTCCCAAATCTACAGATCGTCCACCACCCTGGCCAAATCCCATATGCACAGACATTTGAGAGAGAACAGTAAGGAAAAGCAAGCATAAAATATCTTGTGGAGCATAAAGGCACAAAAACATAATACATAGAAGAGCAAGCTTTAAGAGTAGTCACTCCTAACCATTCAAAAAAACAAGGCGATCAACACTATTGGAAAACACATCCTTTTGCTTTTTTCTGGAAAAGAGCTTAACAGCGTGATATCATCTATACAGCTGATACCACATATTGAGAAAAAGCTAGGTTTGATGTTTTCTGTAGTAAGGTTTCTCGGAAAAATACGTAATTGACAAAATAGGCCAGTGTTTTCCAGCATAAAGAAATTCTTACAGAGAAAATTAGAGACGGCTAAGAAACAAAATGATGTTATCATATACAGGAGATAAGTTTAGCAAAGTAACAACAATCTAAAGAAGCACCTCATTTATGCCAACTAAAGTTTGTGCGTAATGTACAAATATGTTACTCTTCTACCATCTACAACATTACTTATTTCCTTTTGCGCATTTAAGAACCCAGATACAGTAACAAGATAATGTGACGCAAGAGCTTTACAGTTAAGTTGTTTTATTATTTTAGTCTTATTTATTAATTATTAGACATATAAAAAGACAGATGTTATTATTAGTTTTCTTTAAGGTTTAGGATTATTTAAATCTATGGTTAGGATCCAAAGTTATCTTTAGGGTTTAAATCTCGAGCTGGGATTAAAACTTTTCTTGTCACCCTAGTTTAAATAAATTGTAAAATAGTTACAGCAGCATCATTATTATTATTCTTATTATTTTCTTTGAATTAATACAAAAAACTAGAGGTTTATTATAACACTAAGTTTTCTTGATTTTCATCTTCTTTCCTAATTGTTTAGTTCAGCCTTAATTGTTTTGATTGTTGCTGTTTTTCTTCTTAAACCACATCAAATTAGGTCACATCAAATTAGGTATCAACCTAATTAGATCCAACGGTTTGCCATTAGGCCATGGTTGTAAGCGTTAGTGGGTGTGTATCCTACACACCCACTAATCAACAAGTTTCTGATTTTAATCAAATAGGGATCTTAGCAGGTTTCTGATTTTTTTCTCTACATGGTTCTATGCTAACCATTAATCAACAGGAAATATATTACCATTCTCCACCTAACCTATGTTATTAGGACTTGGGTGCAAGTGTTGGACATGGATATATATCCGACACTGGTATGGTTAGGTTTTTATGAGTTTTCCCATATATTTGAATGATCTTTGGAAGTCATATCCCCAAATCTAAGTGTTGGATTCAGGTACTTCATGAAAAATGAAGAGTCCAAGAAACATATCACCTAACAAGCAAAAAATTGTTTAGACGACAAATATTGCTGAATGTAGCACCAACGTATAGGATATTGTGCAAGTTACATATTAGGGCTAAAGTAGCAAAATTTTAATCGCTGGAGTTGAGTTTTCCAAGCCAGGGAGAATGATGCAATAGATTTACAGTTATGTGGTTTTATTACTTTAGTTTGGTTTATTAACTATTAGACATAAAGATAGACGTCTAGGATTATTCATTTTCTTTAAGGCTTAAATCTAGAGTTAGGAACCTAAGTTATCTTTAGCGTTTAAGTCTAGGGCTGTGATTGAAATTTTATTTGTAACCCTAGTATAAATAAGCTGTAAAATAGTTACAACTGCATCATTATTATTCTTATTATGTTCTTTGAAATCATACGAAACTAGAGATTATAACCCCGAGTTTTCTAAAGTTCGAACTTGTTTTTGAGCCTTATTTCTTTTTATTACTGCTGTCTCCCCCTCTAAAACATATCACAATAAGAAATTGAACTTCGAAAATCAAAAATTGCACCTTGCTAGATTCTTGAATGGATCTGGAATCACCAGTGTCTTGCATGTGACTATCTGCTTCTGCAGATCCAGATGTCACCAATGGATTTTCAGAACTTAAAGATGACTCAAGATCAATAACTGAGCTTCTATTCAATGGAGATAATAAAGCAATTGGTCCTGAAACATTATTTTGTTTCCCATCCGATGACTGAAAAGCAATGACTTGAATTCTTCCCATCTGAAAGTATCACAATTCTATCCATTGAGCTTTCAGGTTTAATAAAAAAACTTCTACAAGATTGGTTTCGGTTTAGTATGCATATGAAGCACTAACCTTGTTTATATCCTCACTAAAACAAGAAAATATAAGCCCAACAAATCCGGAATCTAAAAGTTGATACATTGCCTGAGTCCGCACATCTGCAGAAGTAGCAAATCTTTTCAACATCAAGCAACCAATCATAAATGTAAAGCTATTTAACAAGAAATAACAGAAAGTGGTTTTCAGTCAACAATAATGACCAATAAACAATCCTGTGCCTGCACAATGAAAAATCCTCTTCTTCACAGTCAAGTTTCAGTAATAAGTAAGCGCTCTCATATCAGCAACACAATGTTGCAGGTTCAAATGTTAAGGATGTGGCTTCACACTTGCGAAGTTAAAAGTTCACAAAACTAGAAAAACGAACATCTCAATTTGCATCCGTGGGATTAAATATAAATTGCATCTAACAGTTAAAAGAAAGTGTGCCCAAAAATTGAATAACCTAGACATGCAAAAAGGTCTAAGCACTGGTACATTCAATGATTCATGATACAAGTAATAAACAAATTAAAACAACTTGGGATTTCGAAAAGGTAATCGTACATGAAATGAGACATCCGTTAAAACTGAAACAACAGAATGCACCAAGAGAAAAATCATATTATTCTCCCAACTTAGTTTGATATAAAGCTTCAAACAAACAAATATATTTCTGATAATAAAATGCTAGAACAGCTAAAGTTTTTCAGAAACAAAACTACTTATCAAAACTTACCAACATGAGAAGGAAGAACAGTAATATGGGGATGTGAATGGTACCACCCAATCACTCTTGTTGTTCTGCCAGTCGATGCAGTCATTCTGTGCCTTGAAGTTAATTTCACAACTAAACTAACAAACACAAACATTAAGCACAGTGCAAGCTGCGTTAATAACTAATGCTTTAATCATTATGCAAATTACTAACATGAACACAATAAACTCATTTCTTTTAGGCACTTATTAAGATCTAAATTATAACTAAGGGATCATAGGAAAGGCTATGACAAGCTATTTCTTTTATACTGTAATGAACACAAACCGAAGACCAGTTTATTGACAACAAAGAAAAATAGGCACAAAGATTTAAGGATATATCAGCTTGAGCTGATGCAGCTGCCAACTGTTCAGGATTTGTCTCAACTCGGTCCTTCCGCCGATCAGATCGTGATTGTGGCGATGCTCCCCATATCAATGCGGTGACATTTCCATCTTTTGAGTACTGAAATTTGCAAGAGGTGGATATGTTATATAAACCAAAAGACGGAACGACAATAATGCAAGACAAAATCAAAACCCTGCAATACTCCTTTTACTATGAACCGAAGTTTAAAAGACCAGATTTATCATCAGTTATGTTCTGTATAAAGAGATTCAAGTTCCTAGTACCCGGTTTCAGAAAAAAAAATAGGGTTATCACTTTATCTAACTCAACAATCCACAAACACAAAGACAAAATGAACCAATTATTTTTAAGTAATACATACTACATAGTAAAACCTACATCTGCTATTGTATAAAATTAATACCATAACTGGATTTTTCCACATAAAAGAGTTTGATAATTCTTTTAACTCAAATAAAAGAATCCAATTCAACTATTTTTTTCTTATATACAAAAACACAAATGATTTAGAAATTAATCCACCTATCAACATTAGGCACAATATTTAAATTACATCACAAAGAAACAAACGTGTAATTTAAAGTTGGAAAAGAAAAAGATTGGATTTTGAGACATGGGTTCTATATATATATATAAAAGAAAGACAAACCTCGATGTCTCCTAGAAGAAGACCCATGATCTCTTCGGTTTCAGTAGACAATGCATGTGTAAGACAAGTTAACCAAACATCCTCAGAAATTTTCACACATGTTAAAGACATTCTCTTTATCAATATTTGTATTTTCTTCAAAACAAAATCTGTTTTCTTTTTTTATTTTTTCTCTGGTCTTGTCTTTTTAAGATTCAAGATCTTTAGAAGATTTTAACCATTTTTCTCTGTAAAAGGGTTTTTTTTGGAAGGGGGGGCGATAGATCTTGTTGGACGGGAGACCGGGAGAGAGTACCAAGAGAAATACACTACAATCAGTTCTAATCTATTTGTTTGTAACAATAAAATTTGGACCGTTGATATCTTGCAGTGCAGTAAAAGAAGAGTAAATTGCAAAGTTCATCATTAAACTTTACTTTTACTCCTCTTTTAGTCAATTAAGTTTAAAATTATTTAATTTAATCAATTAACTTTTGAATTGTTTCTATTTTGACCACTATGTCATTAAATAATTAAAGGTATTAAGACATAATAGATGACATCAAAATGATATCGTTTTAGAAATATCAAATTGAAACCAACACGACGTTATTTTAAATCCCTACAAAACTCATTTTTCCTTTTTTAAGAGTCCAAAACATGCATCTATAGAATCAAACTCCAGTCAAAAACCTTACTAAGAGTTCATAGTCTACTCAAAATCCAAAAATAAACAAAAGTAAATGTATAGTTCTCAACATGTGCTCATATTGCCACTAAATCATCACAAAACCAAGATTCTTTATATACTCCAAAAATTTCTCTCGTCAAGGATCAATCAGTGTAACCTACACATTGTTTTTCCTTCTACACGTTACATACTCATAATGAGACATAATGTAAATGAAATGTTCAATTGCTAAAAATTTTGACATGAGTCTAGAGATGAATTTACTAAGAGCATACTTCTCATGTAACATGACTTTCATGCTTTTATACTCAGATGACATAATTCATCTGAATTATATATGACAGTTAATGTCTTACTTGCCAATATGGTTTTGGTATAATCGGAATGCTCTCGAGCCATATCCACTCTCAATGGTATTTATGCCCACTCTAGTCCCTTGGCTCCAATTCGCGCTATCTCAATGCTCAAACGATGAGTATAGGTACTTAACTTCACCCAAGTCTTACAAGAAGTCAATCGTCCAATAAATGCTTTAGCCAAACATATTCCTTACTCCCAGTTTGAGATACTTCATCAGAATTTTTCATCGAATTACATACAAGAGTTACTTCATAAAAACATCAAGACCTTCCTGCTAGCTAACATAGTTTTCTAATTTTCCCTTTTTGATTTTAGAGAAAGGTCTATGCTACATATTTATATGATGTGTGACGACTTAAGATCAGTAGAAAACTTGGAATAAGATCCTATCATCATAATTATCGTTATTAAGTGCAGTAAAAATCTTTAAGATTATCTTTCGATTGTAATTGCTATGGATTAATTTACCTAAAAAAGAGTTGATCGAATACTTTTTTTTTTCAAACAATGAATCTTGAAATTCTCTTGGTAGAACAAAATCTTTTGTTCATCAAATTTTATTATCTATGTACGTATCTTTAAAGCACCACAACTACATATGGATAAATCTTCTAATATTATTAAAATAAAACATGTCAATTAATTTTTTTATTTTTATTTTGGTTACGAATAAAACCACTAAGAAATCAGTGGGTTATGCTAGTGTCCTGATACACTTTATCCCTCATGAGCAAGGTTTGTATCTCGCTTGAAGGCTGCTGAAAACACAAGAGAGCAGGAGGGTCATTCCTTCCAATCTTGGCTAAAGCATCAGCTAGCCCATTTGCTTCTCGTTTTATATGGATGACTTTGATGCACCACCTCCGCTCAAGCAGGCTGCGGATTCGCCGTGTTATAGCATCGTCGTTAGGTTGTCCAGGTAAGTATAATATCCTCACAACTTCACTATTATCGAGCTCTACGATAATTCTTCTGGCTCCACGCGACGTTCAAACCGTCAAGCACCGCCCACAATTCAGCCTGAAAAACGGGACAACAACCGATTTCACGACAGTAACCAGCAACCCAGCTTCCATTGCTATCACATAAAATGCCCCCACTAGCTGCTTCCATTGTTGCCTGATTAACCGAACCATCAACGTTCAGCTTAGTAAAATTATCCTTCGGTGCTTGCCATCTTTGCCTCAGGGATTGATAGTCGCTTACACAAGTTCCACCATATTTTTGCCATGTTTAATTGATTTGGCCTAAACCCTGGCTGATTTAATCAATTAATTTTTTTATGTTCACAACTCACTTTCATTTTTTAATTCTATATCGGTTTAGGATCATCATACAGATGGAAATGAATGAAAAAGATTAAAAGTTTATGTTTTCATATTATTCACTCTTTTTTACTCGTATAAACCTTTTCATTTCATTTTTAATAGTATATCTCAATCAATTATTTATGTTCATATAGTGATTCTAAATCAATATAAGAGTTTTATACTCGTACCTTTCTGCGTATAATTGGATTCACTTACGTGTAGTTTACTGAGGTTAATTGGTTTTCCTTGAGTCTATAAAATTCTTGTAAAAAGTAGAAAAAATTAAGGGGGAAAAAACTTGAATCCACCACATAAATCCACTTAATTCGAAGTTTAGAACCGCGCGGCTGCACGTAACCCACCGGAATGGATTCAATATCTACAGTTTGAAAAGGCCGAAGGCCACGTAGGCTAGGTTGGTTAAAACTCTTGAGCGGTAGAATTTGAATTATTTAGGAATCTAACAGATGTTATCGTAGTTGAACTGACCGCGTGTGTGTATATATATCGTAGGTTGGTTAAAATTCTCCTTGAATTTTCCAACGAGTGTTTCACGTTGTAGGGATTACTTGACAGCCCGTGTGATTTTCCCTAGAAAATCTTCCAACTGTGTTGTTTATCATTCTTCATCACTTTCCCTAGAAAATTTTCGAAAGAAAAAAACTTCCTGGAACCTATTATGGAATCTCCTAGCACTGATGAAAATGCCATAGATGCATCTGCCGAAAAGGTTTGCTTCTGCTCATGCATTATTTTAATGTAATGGCGATTCTTTACCTTTGTTGAACAATATTAACAGTCATTCAACGAAAACTTTGATTATTAAAATGTTAATTTTTTTGGATTTTGGTGTTCATGGTTTTTTAACTCATTTTTTCTAATCATAGAAATCTCCATTTTCCAAGTTTCTGAATGATCTGTCCCCTATAAAGTTGTCAAGAGCCAGAGTACCACTGTATGCACGAAGGTTGGGCGAGTCAAGTTTTCAAAATATTCCATTGGTGTTTAGCTCACCACATTTGGATCGACCAACAAGCTTCCTTCAGAGGTTTTTTTTTGTCCAAGTCTTGATAACATTTTTGGAAGTCGCCCAATATTTGATGCTCTTAATTGAAGATTGTTTTGCATGTTGATAGATATTGTGGGTCAAATTCAAATGCTATTAAGCCTTCAAACCTTACTGGTGCATACCAAGGAGATCCTAAGGAGGCGGTGACCACTGGTGGTGCATACCAAGGAGATCCTAAGGAGGCGGTGACCACTGGTGGTGCATACCAAGGAGATCCTAAGGAGGCGGTGACCACTGGTGGTGCATACCAAGGAGATCCTAAGGAGGTGGTGACCACTGGTGGTGCATACCAAGGAGATCCTAAGGAGGTGGTGACCACTGGTGGTGCATACCAAGGAGATCCTAAGGGTGAAATCCAAGGTGATCAAAGGTTGAATAATATAGTAGAATTTCCATATGAAAACACGTGGAATGTTGATTCATATGAATTTAAGGAACATCAAGCCATGTCAACTCAGGTTCTACCAACTACAACAGTCGATGATCATGCACCTCAAAACATGGAAACTCAATGGGATTCTCATAATGTCCCTTGTTTTAACCAGCCGGGAATCCCTTGTCAACAGTTTGCTGACTCCCAAGATAACACTGAAAGGAGAAGGTAAGTTTATAATCTATCTTTTTACTAATTTTGGGAATTTAATCTTCATTTTTGTTGAATTCAGGAATAGAGAAACATACACATACAAGATTGATACTTGTAAAGTATGTAACTGCAAGAAGACCTATTGTTTGAAACTGTAAGTTACAACATTTCACTTACTTCCATTGCTAAAAGTAAACTCGAATACTATGACACTCGGATTCGAGTTTAAGCCTCAGATACAAATACATACCTGAGATGGGTATGTTCAGTTTTTCCATGTATTTGGAAGGTCCCTCACATGAATACAAATACAAATACATGCTCGAATATCATTCCCTCATATGAATGTCTGGTATCCGGATTCATTGTGTCGTTTGTTGTGATTGACAGTTACTGCGAGTGCTTTGCAGCAGGGATTTACTGCGAGGACTGTTGTGCATGTGAGAGCTGTTTCAACAAGCCAGATTACGAGGAAATAGTTCTCGAAAACCGACATAAAGTTCAATTGCGTAACCCTCTTGCATTTGCTCCACCAATTGTTAAGGCACAAAATGATTCACTAAATAATACTGTAATTATAAGTTCTGGAGTATTACCTTTTTTATCCTTTTGAGTTTGTGTAAGTTTGGCCTGTCAAACCTCTGCCAGGGCGATGAAAACTCGAACACTCCGTCAGCCAGGCACAAAAGAGGATGCAAGTGCAAGAGGTCAAAGTGCCTAAAAAATTATTGCGAGTGCTATCGGGTTTGTTATCTATGTTGCTACGATTTTTCATTTTTCTAGAAATATGAGAAAAATAGGTGTTGGACACATATCGGTATTCTGTACTTATACCGGAGTCCGAGTTTAATAACGGCTGTCCTTTCCTATTCTGATGATTTGTTGCCTTTATCAGGACGTTGCTTACATCTGATCAATCTGACTGCAAAAATATTCTCCATTTATTTTTAGGCTAAAGTTGGATGCTCCGATGGATGCCACTGTGAGAATTGTGACAATTCTTTTGGCAAGAAATCAGGTTCTTTCTAATCTCTATCCCTATCTCCTTTCCATTTTCATTTTCCAACTAATGATCCAAGCACTCTACAAATACATGAAAGAGTAATGGCAACTTAGAAATAATCTAACATGTCTACGACGGACACATTCCCGGAACAGACATTAACACCGTAACATAGACTTTTAAGTGCTTAGTTTTCCTGATTCGAATGATGAATTGATTGATGTGTGTATGTGAGGAGCTGAA